CCCATATACCCCGCCTCCTCATGCTGCATGCTGCCAGGTCCAGAGTCTCTCATGGGTCCCTGTACGGCCTCCCATTGCTGCTGTCTCCATCGCCACACTCTGCCATGTGCCACTTTCAGGTCTCCTCACACTGCTGGTGTGTGAATTTTTTGACATAGGGTGCTGGCAGATTACGGGCCTCCTATAGCTGCTGCCAGGCCCCTAATCTGCCATGGGCCCTATATACCGCCTCCTCATGCTGCTGCCAGGTCCAGAGTCTCTCATGGGTCCCTGTACGGCCTCCCATTGCTGCTGTCTCCATCGCCACACTCTGCCATGTGCCACTTTCAGGTCTCCTCACACACTGCTGGTGTGTTCAATTTTTTGACATAGGGTGCTGGCAGATTACGGGCCTCCCATAGCTGCTGCCAGGCCCCTAATCTGCCATGGGCCCCTATATACCGCCTCCTCATGCTGCTGCCAGGTCCAGAGTCTCTCATGGGTCCCTGTACGGCCTCCCATTGCTGCTGTCTCCATCGCCACACTCTGCCATGTGCCACTTTCAGGTCTCCTCACACTGCTGGTGTGTTGAATTTTTTGACATAGGGTGCTGGCAGATTACGGGCCTCCCATAGCTGCTGCCAGGCCCCTAATCTGCCATGGGCCCCTATATATACCGCCTCCTCATGCTGCTGCCAAGGTCCAGAGTCTCTCATGGGTCCCTGTACGGCCTCCCATTGCTGCTGTCTCCATCGCCACACTCTGCCATGTGCACACTTCAGGTCTCCTCACACACTGCTGTGTGTGAATTTTTTGACATAGGGTGCTGGCAGATTACGGGCCTCCCTATAGCTGCTGCCAGCCCCTAATCTGCCATGGGCCCCTATATACCGCCTCCTCATGCTGCTGCCAGTCCAGAGTCTCTCATGGGTCCCTGTACGGCCTCCCATTGCTGCTGTCTCCATCGCCACACTCTGCCATGTGCCACTTTCAGGTCTCCTCACACACTGCTGGTGTGTGTTGAATTTTTTTTGACATAGGGTGCTGGCAGATTACGGGCCTCCCTATAGCTGCTGCCAGGCCCCTAATCTGCCATGGGCCCCTATTATACCCGCCTCCTCATGCTGCTGCCAGGTCCAGAGTCTCTCATGGGTCCCTGTACGGCCTCCCATTGCTGCTGTCTCCATCGCCACACTCTGCCATGTGCCACTTTCAGGTCTCCTCACACACTGCTGTGTGTTGAATTTTTTGACATAGGGTGCTGGCAGATTACGGGCCTCCTATAGCTGCTGCCAGGCCCCTAATCTGCCATGGGCCCCTATATACCGCCTCCTCATGCTGCTGCCAGGTCCAGAGTCTCTCATGGGTCCCTGTACGGCCTCCCATTGCTGCTGTCTCCATCGCCACACTCTGCCATGTGCCACTTTCAGGTCTCCTCACACTGCTGGTGTGTTAGAATTTTTTGACATAGGGTGCTGGCAGATTACGGGCCTCCTATAGCTGCTGCCAGGCCCCTAATCTGCCATGGGCCCCTATATACCGCCTCCTCATGCTGCTGCCAGGTCCAGAGTCTCTCATGGGTCCCTGTACGGCCTCCCATTGCTGCTGTGTCTCCATCGCCACACTCTGCCATGTGCCACTTTCAGGTCTCCTCACACACTGCTGGTGTGTTGAATTTTTTGACATAGGGTGCTGGCAGATTACGGGCCTCCTATAGCTGCTGCCAGGCCCCTAATCTGCCATGGGCCCCTATATACCGCCTCCTCATGCTGCTGCCAGGTCCAGAGTCTCTCATGGGTCCCTGTACGGCCTCCCATTGCTGCTGTCTGTCTCCATCGCCACACTCTGCCATGTGCCACTTTCAGGTCTCTCTCATCACACTGCTGGTGTGTTAGAATTTTTTGACATAGGGTGCTGGCAGATTACGGGCCTCCTATAGCTGCTGCCAGGCCCCTAATCTGCCATGGGCCCCTATATACCGCCTCCTCATGCTGCTGCCAGGTCCAGAGTCTCTCATGGGTCCCTGTACGGCCTCCCATTGCTGCTGTCTCCATCGCCACACTCTGCCATGTGCCACTTTCAGGTCTCCTCACACACTGCTGGTGTGTTGAATTTTTTGACATAGGGTGCTGGCAGATTACGGGCCTCCATAGCTGCTGCCAGGCCCCTAATCTGCCATGGGCCCCTATATACCGCCTCCTCATGCTGCTGCCAGGTCCAGAGTCTCTCATGGGTCCCTGTACGGCCTCCCATTGCTGCTGTCTCCATCGCCACACTCTGCCATGTGCCACTTTCAGGTCTCCTCACACACTGCTGGGTGTGTTGAATTTTTTTGACATAGGGTGCTGGCAGATTACGGGCCTCCTATAGCTGCTGCCAGGCCCCTAATCTCTGCCATGGGCCCCTATATACCGCCTCCTCATGCTGCTGCCAAGTCCAGAGTCTCTCATGGGTCCCTGTACGGCCTCCCATTGCTGCTGTCTCCATCCATCGCCACACTCTGCCATGTGCCACTTTCAGGTCTCTCTCACACACTGCTGGTGTGTTGAATTTTTTGACATAGGGTGCTGGCAGATTACGGGCCTCCATAGCTGCTGCCAGGCCCCTAATCTGCCATGGGCCCCTATATATACCGCCTCCTCCATGCATGCTGCTGCCAGGTCCAGAGTCTCTCATGGGTCCCTGTACGGCCTCCCATTGCTGCTGTCTCCCATCGCCACACTCTGCCATGTGCCACTTTCAGGTCTCCTCTCACACACTGCTGGTGTGTTGAATTTTTTGACATAGGGTGCTGGCAGATTACGGGCCTCCATAGCTGCTGCTGCCAGGGCCCCTAATCTGCCATGGGCCCCTATATACCGCCTCCTCCTCATGCTGCTGCCAGGTCCAGAGTCTCTCATGGGTCCCTGTACGGCCTCCCATTGCTGCTGTCTCCATCGCCACACTCTGCCATGTGCCACTTTCAGGTCTCCTCACACTGCTGGTGTGTTGAATTTTTTGACATAGGGTGCTGGCAGATTACGGGCCTCCCTATAGCTGCTGCCAGGCCCCTAATCTGCCATGGGCATGGGCCCCTATATACCGCCTCCTCATGCTGCTGCCAGGTCCAGAGTCTCTCATGGGTCCCTGTACGGCCTCCCATTGCTGCTGTCTCCATCGCCACACTCTGCTGCCATGTGCCACTTTCAGGTCTCCTCACACTGCTGGTGTGTTGAATTTTTTGACATAGGGTGCTGGCAGATTACGGGCCTCCTATAGCTGCTGCCAGGCCCCTAATCTGCCATGGGCCCCTATATACCGCCTCCTCATGCTGCTGCCAGGTCCAGAGTCTCTCATGGGTCCCTGTACGGCCTCCCATTGCTGCTGTCTCCATCGCCACACTCTGCTTTCATGTGCCACTTTCAGGTCTCTCCTCACACACTGCTGGTGTGTTGAATTTTTTGACATAGGGTGCTGGCAGATTACGGGCCTCCTATAGCTGCTGCCAGGGCCCCTAATCTGCCATGGGCCCCTATATACCCATGGGCCTCCCCTCCTCATGCTGCTGCCAGGTCCAGAGTCTCTCATGGGTCCCTGTACGGCTCCCATTGCTGCTGTCTCCATCGCCACACTCTGCCATGTGCCACTTTCAGGTCTCCTCACACACTGCTGGTGTGTTGAATTTTTTGACATAGGGTGCTGGCAGATTACGGGCCCTCCCTATAGCTGCTGCCAGGCCCCTAATCTGCCATGGGCCCCTATATACCGCCTCCTCATGCTGCTGCCAAGTCCAGAGTCTCTCATGGGTCCCTGTACGGCCTCCCATTGCTGCTGTCTCCATCGCCACACTCTGCCATGTGCCACTTTCAGGTCTCCTCACACACTGCTGGTGTGTTGAATTTTTTGACATAGGGTGCTGGCAGATTACGGGCCTCCCATAGCTGCTGCCAGGCCCCTAATCTGCCATGGGCCCCTATATACCGCCCTCCTCATGCTGCTGCCAAGGTCCAGAGTCTCTCATGGGTCCCTGTACGGCCTCCCATTGCTGCTGTCTCCATCGCCACACTCTGCCATGTGCCACTTTCAGGTCTCCTCACACACTGCTGGTGTGAATTTTTTGACATAGGGTGCTGGCAGATTACGGGCCTCCTATAGCTGCTGCCAGGCCCCTAATCTGCCATGGGCCCCTATATACCGCCTCCTCATGCTGCTGCCAGGTCCAGAGTCTCTCATGGGTCCCTGTACGGCCTCCCATTGCTGCTGTCTCCATCGCCACACTCTGCCATGTGCCACTTTCAGGTCTCCTCACACACTGCTGGTGTGTGAATTTTTTGACATAGGGTGCTGGCAGATTACGGGCCTCCTATAGCTGCTGCCAGGCCCCTAATCTGCCATGGGCCCCTATATACCGCCTCCTCATGCTGCTGCCAGGTCCAGAGTCTCTCATGGGTCCCTGTACGGCCTCCCATTGCTGCTGTGTCTCCATCGCCACACTCTGCCATGTGCCACTTTCAGGTCTCTCTCACACTGCTGGTGTGTTGAATTTTTTGACATAGGGTGCTGGCAGATTACGGGCCTCCTATAGCTGCTGCCAGGCCCCTAATCTGCCATGGGCCCCTATATATACCGCGCCTCCTCATGCTGCTGCCAGGTCCAGAGTCTCTCATGGGTCCCTGTACGGCCTCCCATTGCTGCTGTCTCCATCGCCACACTCTGCCATGTGCCACTTTCAGGTCTCCTCACACTGCTGGTGTGTAGAATTTTTTGACATAGGGTGCTGGCAGATTACGGGCCTCCTATAGCTGCTGCCAGGCCCCTAATCTGCCATGGGCCCCTATATACCGCCTCCTCATGCTGCTGCCAAGTCCAGAGTCTCTCATGGGTCCCTGTACGGCCTCCCATTGCTGCTGTCTCCATCGCCACACTCTGCCATGTGCCACTTTCAGGTCTCCTCACACACTGCTGGTGTGTTGAATTTTTTGACATAGGGTGCTGGCAGATTACGGGCCTCCATATAGCTGCTGCCAGGCCCCTAATCTGCCATGGGCCCCTATATACCGCCTCCTCATGCTGCTGCCAGGTCCAGAGTCTCTCATGGGTCCCTGTACGGCCTCCCATTGCTGCTGTCTCCATCGCCACACTCTGCCATGTGCCACTTTCAGGTCTCCTCACACTGCTGGTGTGTTGAATTTTTTGACATAGGGTGCTGGCAGATTACGGGCCTCCTATAGCTGCTGCCAGGCCCCTAATCTGCCATGGGCCCCTATATACCGCCTCCTCATGCTGCTGCCAGGTCCAGAGTCTCTCATGGGTCCCTGTACGGCCTCCCATTGCTGCTGTCTCCATCGCCACACTCTGCCATGTGCCACTTTCAGGTCTCCTCACACACTGCTGGTGTGTTGAATTTTTTGACATAGGGTGCTGGCAGATTACGGGCCTCCCATATAGCTGCTGCCAGGCCCCTAATCTGCCATGGGCCCCTATATACCGCCTCCTCATGCTGCTGCCAAGTCCAGAGTCTCTCATGGGTCCCTGTACGGCCTCCCATTGCTGCTGTCTCCATCGCCACACTCTGCCATGTGCCACTTTCAGGTCTCCTCACACTGCTGGTGTGTTGAATTTTTTGACATAGGGTGCTGGCAGATTACGGGCCTCCTATAGCTGCTGCCAGGCCCCTAATCTGCCATGGGCCCCTATATATACCGCCTCCTCATGCTGCTGCCAAGTCCAGAGTCTCTCATGGGTCCCTGTACGGCCTCCCATTGCTGCTGTCTCCATCGCCACACTCTGCCATGTGCCACTTTCAGGTCTCTCACACACTGCTGGTGTGTTGAATTTTTTGACATAGGGTGCTGGCAGATTACGGGCCTCCTATAGCTGCTGCCAGGCCCCTAATCTGCCATGGGCCCCTATATACCGCCTCCTCATGCTGCTGCCAAGTCCAGAGTCTCTCATGGGTCCCTGTACGGCCTCCCATTGCTGCTGCCAGGAGGCAGCAGGGTCGCAGCAGTGTCAGTGGAGGCAAACGGCCACGGAGTAGAGCACCAGCTCCACTGCAGCCTACCACCACGGCCAGTAGTGGTGCCGGTGTGCACGGAGGAAGTAGCAGTCAGCCAGTGAGGAGTAGCGGAGGCAAAGTTTCCTACTCTGCGGTGTGGCAATTTTTCGTCAAGCCGCCCGAGGAAGTAAACGTAGCCGTATGTCGACTATGTGGCCAGAAAGTCAAGCGTGGCCAGGGGCCCATGTTGGGACTACAGCGTTGCGTCAGCATATGCAGCGTCGCCATTCGGTGGCCTGGGAAAACCGTGATAAAGATACGGCGGTTCTGCCTGCCCCAGCCCAGGGTTCCATTTTGTCATAGGGTGCTGGCAGATTACAGGCCTCCCATAGGTGCCGCCAGGCCCCAAATCGGCCATGGGCCCCCGTACCGCCTGGTCACGCTGCTGCTGAGCCCACAGTGTGACCTGGGTCCCTGTACGGCCTCCCATTGCTTCCACTCTGCCATGTGCCACTTTGAAATCTCCTCACACTCCTGCGGTTGTCCATTTTGTCATAGGTTGCTGGCAGATTACAGGCCTTCCATAGGTGCCACCAGGCCCCAAATCGGCCATGGGCCCCCGTACCGCCTGGTCACGCTGCTGCTGAGCCCACAGTGTGACCTGGGTCCCTGTACCGCCTCCCATTGCTCCCACTCTGCCATGTGCCACTTTGAGGTCTCCTCACACTGCTGGTGTGTTCAATTTTTTGACATAGGGTGCTGGCAGATTACGGGCCTCCCATTGCTGCTGCCAGGCACGTAATCTGCCATGGGCCCCCGTACCGACTCCTCATGCTGTGACGTTGCAACAAGGTGGAATTCAACACTACATATGTTAGACCGCCTTTACGAACAGCGAAAGGCCATCACAGATTTCCTGATGTTAAAAGCGGATAAAGGTACTCCCTGTGTAACTTAGATGTCAGCCATTGTCAGCTCATGCGTGACACCTGCGCTTGCTCAGGCCCTTTGAGGAGGCCACGCTATTCGTGAGTCGGCAGGACTATGGGATGAACGAGGTCAAATCGGCCATGGGCCCCCGTACCGCCTGTTCACGCTGATGCTGCTGGTCCCACAGTGTGACCTGGGTCCCTGTACCGCCTCCCATTGCTCCCACTCTGCCATGTGCCACTTTGAGGTCTCCTCACACTCCTGCGGTTTTCCATTTTGTCATAGGTTGCTGGCAGGTTACAGGCCTCCCATAGGTGCTGCCAGGCCCCAAATCTGCCATGGGCCCCCGTACCGCCTGGTCACGCTGCTGCTGGGCCCACAGTGTGACCTGGGTCCCTGTACCGCCTCCCATTGCTCCCACTCTGCCATGTGCCACTTTCAGGTCTCCTCACACTCCTGCTGGTTTCCATTTTGTCATAGGTTGCTGTATGGCCTCCCATTGCTGCTGCCTCCACCGCCACACTGTGGCTCCAAACACTGGTTTTGGCCCCGTGACTGGCCAAATGAGTGAAGTGTGCGGTGATTCTAAGATCGACGGCACTCATCTGCATGTCATACTGAGTGACAGTATTATTTCTCTTCCCCAGCAGACTCCAAGGGCATTTAAATTAAAGGTACAGTGTTCTGCACTAATATTAAGTCTCTCTGAAGCCTAGAAACACCCTTTTTTAAGTTAAATTCACAGCGAATTTATTCGACTCGAATCGAATATTGTCCACGAATTCGCCGAATCAGTTCCAGAGGGTAGAAGAGACTCTGAGGAAATCATGGCATGGGAGAAGGTGATGTGGTTGCTAAAGAGTAGGAGGCTGTGCTAGGATCAAAGAGGACAGTTTGGGTGATATTTTGAGACAACGTTGGTGATATAGCTTGGTGCAGAGATGTAGATGACTTTGTATGTTAATAATAGTAGTTTTAAATTATGTTTCTTGATTGTCAGAGAGGGGCAGCATACACTGAATTGTTGGTTTAGATGGATAACTCTCTGGCAGAAGCATTCATGATGGACTGAAGGGGGGATAGATTGTCTAGTGGAGGCCAACAAGAAGGAAATTGCAATAGTCAAGGTGGAGAGATAAAACGTAGGTGATTATTAGCTTTACTATGTATTTGTTGGGAAGAGGTGTGTATTGTGGGGCTGTTACTGAAGCAAAGGCATTTGGACAGTGATTGGATATGGGCTAAAAAAAGAGAGGTTAGAGTTTAAGTTTACACCTAGCAACCTGCATGAGGGGAGGGACTGATAATTGTGTGTTTGATTTTGAGGAAAAATCAGGGAAATAAATGTCATGAGTTGGGTTTGGAAGGGTTTAGTTGTGTGATATCCATTACTGATACATCAGTTAGTAAATTAGTGATGTGCAATGGGGCTATAATGAGGGGTAAGCTGAGGGATTTAGAGATAGGATTTGGGTTGGTGTCAACAGCGTAGAGCTAGTAATGATAAAAACTCTGGAAGGCTATTAACTGACCTAGGGAATGAGTTGTGGATAGAAAATAGAAGGCGTGTCGGAGGAAATGACTGTAGGGGGAGCCCTACAGGCGAAGTAGAAAGAAGAAATGCGAGAGGAAGAGGTAGAGTTGTAGGTGACAATGAAGATGTGCTGAGATAGGTAGAAAGACAACCAGCAAGGTGCAGAGTCTTGGAGGCCAAGGGAGTGGAGGTTTTTGAAGAGAAGCACATAACCAAGGCAGCAGAAAGTCTAATAGTACTGGTAGTAAAGTATACAGTATATCTTATTTTCTAGACAAATAGGTTTCCTTTTTGGGATAATGTTATGTAAAAATGATTTTAGTTACTGTACAAAGTTATTTACAAATTACCGTTTTTTTTCCGGCGTATAAGACGACTTTTTACCCCTTGAAAATCAACCCACTGTCATACCCTATGCTGGTGCAGTGGGGTCCTGGGTTCTTCCTGGTGCATGACAATGGCCAGCCTCATGTGGCGAGAGTATGCAGCCAGTTCCTGGAGGATGAAGGGATTGAAACCATTGAATGGCCCTCATGCTCACCTGACCTAAATCCAAATAATATGGATATCATATTTCGGTCCATCCGACACAGCCAGGTTGCACCTCAGATTGTCCAGTAGCTCAGTGATGCCCTGGTCCAGATCTAGGAGGAAATACACAGGACACCATACATCATCTCATTAGGAGCATGTGTTGTCAGGTATGCATACAAGCACATGGGGGCCATACGAACTACCATTTTGAGTTGCTGCAATGAAATTTCAGGAAAATGGACTAGACTGCTGCATCATTTTTTCAACTTGATTTTTGGGGTGTCTTTGAATTCAGTCCTCTGTAGGTTGATCATTTTCATTTTCATCAAACAATGGGGTATCCTTACATTCCTAACACATTACCCAGTCCATATCAGTATACATATCCAGCATGATATTTTTCCCCATTGAGATCTGATGTATTTTCAAAGTGTTCCTTTATTTTTTTGAGCAGTGTTTATTAAAACAAACATTTTAGTAAAGTGTGGTCAATTCCATAGCATATTATTTACAGAAATCATGCAAAGATCTTAGTGCATTGATCATATCTATTTATTTGACTTCAATCACACTTTAACTGTTTAAAGCAGAAGTTCACTGTCTTAATCAGCATTAGCTATTTTAATCCTTATGCTGCTAGCCTTAATAATTAGATAGAAAGGTACAGTATATTATATTTACTTTTTTTAAACTTTTCTTTGTGCATTTCTTCAGTCGCTTTCTGTTTTCTGGCCTGGGCCAAAAATGATGTCATACATCCCAGGAGTCTTTACCTGGAGGAGGGGGGGGGGGTTCCCAGCTAAGCAAATCCTCCTGTCTGCATGCCTAAGTTAAGGGCAGATTGATTCTGGAAAGTAGCTGTTACATCAAGTGTGCTCAACCTTTTGAAGAGTAAGGGCCACATAAGTGATTTGGTGATCAGTCATGGGCCACAATTAAATGAAATTTTGAATAGTATAACATTTTACTCCTGCAGCCGCTGAATGCCTGTGGATAGAGAGGAGGAGAAGCCAGATTTTAGCGGTTGCAGGAGGAAAATTGAGATTAGTTTCTGAATATACCACTCCTGCCACCCCTCCTGTTGAAGTGTAAAAACAGCATGTGACGGGCTCCCTGGAGCATGGGGTGGGGTTAACATTACAACCCCTGATGCTACACTAGTGATTGGGGGGGTCTGGTAAAAAAACAACCACCTCCCAAACAGCAAATGTAAGTGAGCTCTTACTGTCCTGAGCCCCCTAAAATACTTTTTTCACACTGATGCACTGCGGTTTATGCGCACTGTGGGTGCAGCACAGTGCATCTGTTGCTTTCCTGAGGGTTAGCTGTGCTTTGCCATAGACTTCTATTATATCTTGTGGGTGTGGTGCACATTCTGAAAGCGCACCAAAACTCCTGCATTCTTTTTAAGGTTGAGGGCCACATCAGAGGGCACTGAGGGCCACAAGTAGAGCACCCCTGTATTACATGAATCATCTTCCCTTATTCAAGATGGCCATGGCTATAATTGCTAGGGGTTGTTTTTCAAAGTAATTTCTCAACAAAATAAAGCATGGAGACAAGGATGGATGGGAGGAAATTTGCTTTGATAATTAAAGTGTTTTTGTTTTCTGGTGCCCACATACAGTTTAGTTCTGTTTTAAGGTCTGTGAAATGGCATTAGAACTGCAGGTACTGATTAGAGCACAGCAAAGCCAGTAGTTCTGTTGATAACAGAGATGAAGCATCTGAATCAAAACAGAGGAAAAATAGCCATCTGTTTTTGTAGGGTTCAACATACTGTACCTTTTAATGTAAGCAGACTGTCCATTTGGCACCATGGAAAGAGGGCATGTACATATGTGTAACAACAATAAAGA